TTCTGCTAATCACCTTCCTCTCACCACTGGGAGTGAAAGGGTTAATGGCACCACCAGATAGTCTGAAAGATGAAAGTTGGGCGTTCCCGTGGCCAGGGTCGTGGCCTCCTCGTCGAAAGCGGGTCGCGCTTTGCTTACGTATTTTCGAGCTGCGAAACCAATTCATCCTTCTTGCTTGCAGACAGGACCACCCAAAGAGTCCAAAGAAGGCATCATCAAAAGAAAGTCCAAAGAAGGCAACATCAAACAAGCGGGCGTACCCTTTAATAAGCTGGTGAAGTTTTCCTGCAGTTAAGACTGACTACATCGACTCTGTCACTGTGAAATATAGATGTCCTCTAACACTCTGTTACGGTGACTTTCACAACGAAAGTTCCGCCAACTTTCCTTCTGTGGGGCCATCAAAACTCAACATCACGCCCTGTGTTCACCTGACGTTCAGACGTTTACGGGACAAGGTAGTGCGGTCCGCAAGCAGAAACGTACCACTTTCGCGGCTCGACACTTCGTAATAAAGACTCTTCACGCTCTGACGACGACCACCCATCATCCTGTGCTAGGCCCAACGTTCATAAAAATTCTAGAGGCTAACGTGTCGCGGTTGTTCTGCTAATATGGTCTAGTTCATTGTAAACAAAGGGGCGTGTTGGGCGGGAGTTTGGCGCGGTGCCAAACCCGTTCCCCACTAGTTTCTGAAGCGAGCAAATGACAATAGTGTACAAAATCAATCGTATCACTCGCTTTCTATCCATTGTTGTCGCATATTCGCTTCAGCAACTAGCATAGAACAGGTTTGGCGCCGTAGCACTCTCATACTGCCTGAAACGTTCCTCAACCGTAGCGAACTGGAGATTAGCTCTTTCTATTCTGAATGGAAACAGTGAAAATGTGGAGGGAAAGGGCTATTCTAATTGTGATGTCAACAAGCGAGAACTCCTCCAAGCACTCCCTTTCTACGATGAATGCTCGTACAAATTCGGATCGTCAGAAACTACCAAGCATTCCGCGAGGATTTTTCTTTTTTCTTCGCTCTATTTTGCTTGAACCTCAGGACCTATAGACTGTGATCGCGGGACGTAAATACAGTAGCTATGTACCCAGCCATGAGCTTCCAAGGTGATACCATGCCATTCAGCATAGTCAGCCACCAATATAGCAGAATAAATATTAACACCATTTCTCAAATACTACCAAATATCATCATATACTCAAAAGAGACGCAAAAAAAGCCCGAACCACATAAAGTTTCGCTGGTTCCGGTCAACTCTATGCAATCATTACCTCAGTTTATACAGCCATGCGTGTCACATTGCAAATTCAACATTTCCTTTAGAATTACGGTTCCTTCAGAATTACAGTTAGTTGTAGCAAGCTGCAGTGGTAGGGCACGAGGATGATGGTATGGAGACCTCGATGGTGGGTGGTAGAAAGAGACGAAGTCTCTTTCTACCACCCACCATCAAGGACTCCCTTAGACATCTGTATCTAATGAGAAGGTATGAGAAAGCAAATGTGCCAGCAAATTTTTTACGCTATGAAAGCGCAGCGTTCCAGCTATTATCAAAAAGTTCTTGACAGACCAACAGTAACGCCGTAACAGCGCAAAAGGGTTTTAAACAACTAGTTTCCCTACAGCCGGCAGTGCGACGAGCACAGCATATGGCAAAGAAAACAAGTAACATGTACAAAATTCTGAAGTCCAGTTTTTGACGCCGCAACGGCATTTGTTTCCCTTGAAAAGAAACAGAGTGAAGAAATGAGGTCATATGAATGGACGAGTGAGCGACTGAGATGCAAATAGGTCAGTTTCATTCAAAAAAGGTTATAGACAATTCCGACTGTTGGAATTTGTCACTACGCTGAGAACATCAGAGAACTCTCAAGCCATAAGTTTTCTCAGCATCATCCATATGTGAGCACTGTCACATTACATCCACGTACCTGTCCACATCTTCCTCATCCACAGAGCTATCTTCTTTGCGAGATCTCTTGGCTTCGAATTTCGTCAGCTTTTCTCTGAATTGAGAACGTCAGCTTTTCTCTGAATTGAGAACCACTCACCGTAAGACATCACGACAGCCATAAGTGGAAAATGGAACTAATTAATTCGATTAGGAAAACGAAAAAGATGCACAGCGTTTGCCTCAGAAAGTCATCCCTTCACAGCTTTCAAACAATTCATAACAGAACAAAATGTGGGGTACATCCCACGAAGATCGACGTTGTATAAGAGAAATCGTTCTGAGCCGAAAATGATGCACTTCATTCTATAGCTAATATGTAGTACTTACAGTCAAGATGATTACTCCAAATGCGATCAACTCGATAAATGATGCTATGATGACAGATCATAGCGGATATTTGGCTACATGGCTTTATGCATTACTATTCTGCGGAATCAAGAGCTTTTTCAGCTCTTGTGAATTGGTGAATAATATTTGTGAGCTTGTCACAACTGCTTAGCAGAGGGGACTACTTCATACATCAACTATCATGAAGCTTGAGACAGAGAACTTACTTATATTTTATGAACAGCTCGATTGCTCGATCAACCTTTTCATGTTCATGTTCGACGAACTTGCTCATCATTCGTTGGCGAGCAACGTCTCCGCAAGAACGAAGCAACGATGCGAGAATCTGTAAATGAAAGGACATACAAACTTTGCACCCTTGGTGAAACGAATTCCAGTCAACTAATGTTCTGGCTTGCTGCTCATATTGAGAGCAGTAGAAGAACAGTGTTAAAGGCAAAATGTCCACCTCCTTCGAGTATGGTTCAAGCTATATGCGAAAAGAACCTGAGCAGTCATGTAGTTTCGACAACGAGAGCGTGCCAAAGAAAGAATGGGGTGATACCCGGTAGTGCTTCTAACACCGCCTGCGCCATCCTCAAGGTGCAGTACTGCGTCGACACCAAAATCTCGCAGCGGCCACGATTCAGAAACAGAACAACCAAACGTGATATAGTGCAGATAAGTAGTTTTGCTATGGTTAGGCGTGTGGATGGCCTTGCGGCAGCGAAGAGGCGTCGGGAGATGGCAACCACTATTAGTACCCTCTAACCCCGTCTCGGCGCGGGGAAAAGAACGGGACAGCTATTGCAGCTGTTGATCCATTCCTCTCGCGTATGGCAAGAATAATATTAGGCTGGCGGGAAAGTTCTGTCACATTTTTTCAAATTAGACTTTCTTTTTACAGAGAGGCGTACAAGATCAAAATTATACAGCAATGTTATTGAGAGATCCTTGCCAGTTTTTGGACAGTTCGTGGATGCCATCGCTTAACAATGCACGCCGGCGCGACGCAAAGTTGGACATCATCTCAACTTTGACTTGGGCTCAAGTCGTGGAGGTTTTCTCGGCTGTATAACGGTTGAATACGGGAGGCGACTAGCAGTCAGAAAGAGCAATGTCTGGACTACCGGTGCAAGGGGAGAGCCATCCAGCTCTATTGCATGAAGTACGGCTCGAACTTTTTTTGACGGGGTGTGCTGCACCAGCACGTTGAAGACGGACTGTGCCGATGGATTTTGCCCTCTGCTTGACGATTCGCTTCAGATCTCGTAGCTGCCTTGCGTACGGATTGACCGAGGAGGCAGCTTCTTCATCCAGTAGTTTCCCGACCCACCGCTATCTAGAGCTGAGTTTACAGGTACTCCCGAACCTCACTTCGTCATTCGAACCGTAGGCTCCCGCTCTGAAGAGCTAGCGTCGTGGAAGATTGTCTGATGACTGTAGACATTGTCCTTGTGCAGCTCCATTATTTCGGCGCTGCCATGCTGGCGCCAGGGTGGTAGAAGAAATAGTTTAAGGAAGCGCTTGAAGGGGTCGGTGCTGAAGGTAGCGGATAACATTCTTGTCCATAATGCAGAATAAGGATGAGCAGGAGCCGAGCCAGTGACACTAATAGAAAGATCAATCCTTAATGTATAAATGCTCACATTACCGGTTAGCCCTCTTCAGGTAATAGGCGAATACTTGGGTTCAAAAAAGTATGACAGAACTTTCCCGCCAACCTAATAATAAAAAAGTGTATAGTATGGTTTGAGAAACTACGCTTTAGATGGGTTCCTGTTTGACTACATATGCCAAATGTAGCGTAAAAGCACGGTTTGGGGTATGTGGCAAGTGAATCGTAATCTGCAGCGCCAGTGGGCGTCGCGTGCGACGTCGCGCCTGCTAATGACGACGATTTTAGGTGGTATTGGTCGAGAATAGACAATGTATGACCAAAAATAGACATAACTTTCCACCATGTCCTTGTCCACATAAATCCGATGTTCGAATCGAAAGGGTAGTGCAAGTCGAGTAAAGTCGCGCTAACTGAAGCGCGCGACGAAGCCGTAATTTACAATTTAATTCTCTTGCCCGTCTCCCGCACGGTTGTGAATGAAACTAATTCCTTTTTGTTCCATTGCAGTCATTACCAAGGAGGCGGAGATGAAGCGGACATGAGACGTACTGTAAGGTGAAACCACTTCGCGCACCGTCCAGCGGGTGAAGTTCCAGTCCGAAAGACAGCAAACCTTCCATTTTCCCGATTGATCAGTTGGTACTGGACTCTTTAGGGGGGAAAAACAGAGACATACTCGAGCAAAGTCAGGCCCCTGTGAGACAAAGCATTCAGATACTACGAAGATGTCACAAATAAATGCAGAATGACGCCTCCAGGAAGAGAATGAAACTCTCATACCAAGACTTATGAGAGAGGAGTCCAGAGACGACGGGACTATGAGTGTTCCACTGCTTAACATATAGTGGGCGCGATCTACCAAGTTCCGCAGTTCGGTATGGGTGCACTGACTCAGAGAAAGAACTGATTCGTTCGAAAACTGACAGGCCATACAGGCCACAAAGTTACGGCACGGCGGCGACTTACTAAAAGCAGGAGTTTGTGGCAACCTCCGTTTGGTTTTTCTAAGAATCAAAAATGATTTCGAGCAACTAATCAAAAGCGACGCACCGAGACAGCTCTGGGATAGTTCGAAACATCTCTAGGATTTACATGTTCAGCGAATATATGGAAAAACTCACGGCACAAACATGCTCCTCGTGTTCGTCAGGCGTAGTGTCCTTCCTCTTCACCTTTGACGGCGTACGCATATAAAGCGGGAAGAGTGTTCGTAAACCTGAGAGTAAAGCTTATAGATGTCTCTGTCTTGAATAGTACTTCAAGATAAGTTGCGAGCATCGAAAAATTCGTAGCCAGTCGCCGCTTTCAAACTTAGAGAATTCAAAAAAAGAAGCAGGAAGAGAAAAGCGAGTGAACAAAATGGGGTCATGCAGAATAGGGTCATATGATATATTAACAGGTGAGCAGAAAAGCATATATGAACTTGATTTCATGCGGCTATTCTAAATCGTCGCCTCTAGCCCATTTCATTTTGCCGCAGTTTGCGAAAGTGAGCTACTCTCGATTCTTCCAATAAAAGTAAATAGTTCTGGTAGTTGCCAGTGGCACATCCCAGCCAAGGCACAGCATGGGGACGGGAGAGAAATGAAAGTGTCAGAACGAATTCCGGAATTCCCTCGAACTCACCCGCCTTACGCAGTGGTACTTATCCACATCCAAAATACTCATGCTCTTTCAGTATTCTTCGCTGTGGCTGACAGGTTGTGTCAGTGAGGCTGAGTTTGGAAAGCCGCTAGCTCGTTGGTCTCATAGATACGGGTTTGCTACCCGCCAAACCCGTCCGGTGTGAAACGCCCATCATATGCAGCGATCAGAGAACGCACTGCATAAAGCTTTGTTGTGAAGTGAACGGGGCGGGGGAGGGGGAAGGGGGTGAGGTGGGCACCTCCTATCAACAACCAGAAAAACTAGCTTTCTGAGGGGATAAAGGGTAAGAACGCGCGTGAAACAGGGAGAATCAAATGTCAGAAAAATTTCTATCGGAGTCAAACTCGACCCCTCTGATAGGCTGCGCATAACGCTCAATGATGCTAGAACCTGGTTCCAGTTCATGGAAACGCTACCACTAAGCACTGCACACACATCACGTTTGAATTCACGAGCTAAAACTTGTTACACTTAATTTTTTATATTAAAGAGAAAACATCATGGTATCAAGAAATTGCTCAAAATAACTGTAACCAATACTTGAGATGGAAGGCGGCAACAGAAAAAAATGCGGTACACAAGAGCATGCACCGATAATGAAACTAACCCAAAATTTCTACGAACTTGTTGCAGTTGTCCTTGCCCTCCGGTCCTGTTGTGGCATGATCGAGTACCTTGACAACCAAATTTTCGTTTATTGTGTCAAACAAAATTAAAAACTGGTTTGAGGAAACTGACCTTCAATGCGCTCTCCCTAGATTGCTTCCTTTCTCTCAACATCAAATTCATTAGCTGCAAGCCTTCACCATCTAAGAACTTTCCTCTATTGACTGGCAGCATGAGAGCAGCACATAATGCATCGAACAAATTTTCCATATGTTCTCGTTCATCCATACTTTCTGGATCATGTCGCTTGTAGGCGGCCAGAGCCTAAAAAATGCCAATCACATATGCATTCACCAACACTGTCACTTGTACTGGCAATCCTTCCTCTACAGACAGAGGATTTTTAGTAAAAAGACAAGAGTGGCCATTATCCGAGCGGGTACTGGCTTATGCATGGCCAACTCCTGTTAGCAGCTGTATACTGGCCATGTATGCACACGAATGTGTCTGCGATTCCAAACAGGAGCAAAAAAAATGCGGTGCATCTCAGGTAGAATGATGACCTCCTTGACACTCAAATGAAGGCGCTTCCAAAGTTTGCGAAGGGAGATTAGGAGAATAGGGCATCGAATTTTCCACAGAAGTAAACGCTCTTGCGATATGTCGATTAGCTAATTCTCCGTTCTACCGACGCAAAGCATTGACGAGGCTCAATATTACTGCAAATTGAGAAATGTGCATTTATACTTAGAAGGTGCTGAGATACTGACAGGAAGGGCAAATGGCTCCAGCAGACAAAAAACAGAGAGCAGACTTCAAGTGCAGGAAATCCACGGAAAAATCTGCGAGCTTTCCAACTGAGAATCCTTACTGAAAAAACCATAAACAAAAGATACTTACACGGAGCAGCATGTCAATACCATCCACCTTTTCAGTAAGCTTTCTCTTCGCCGTTTCAGATAACTGAAGCAGAAGCGCGACCAACTCACTAGCGTACATCTTATTTGCATCAAATTGCCCCTGGAAAGAATTCTTTGACAGCACTTTGAGCAACACACGATGTAAAAAAAAAAACACAACGCGTCTAAGCGTTCATAGCACTAAAGACTCAACAATATCGAGGAACAGAAAGGGGAAGAGCCCCCTAAAATTGGTCTAGGACTAAAGCTGTATCAATTTGAATGACGCCTTGAAACTCATGTTTCGCCCCCTTACTATCAACGGCTCACCAAGAAGAAAGATTCAAAATTTCAATTGGAATTAAATGTACTGGTTAGAAACAACTATTTGAGAAAGGCAATCTGTTCGCTTGAACAAAAACAACAATGAAATATATGGGGGTCAATTGTATTGAAATTTCTATAAACATATTTTTTACGAGAAGATCCCTAACAACAAACCTTTTGACATGCCCTACGTAGCAACCAGAGGAACAGATTCTGATTCACGCAGTCTTCAGCAGTTTCTGGCCGGAAGTCAATCATCTAAATTTGAACAAAAAAGTTTTACCGGCAAAAAGAAGAGCGGAAACTAGTACATTAAAGTCGAATAGGATTGAATGCACAAGCATTCGGAGAAAGGTAACGGCAGAATGCGTTACCAAAATGGGATCAGTGCAAGTTAGGCCGCGTTCATTTATTGTAAAAGGAGTACGGAAGAATAGGAGAATCGGCTATTGGAAAATGCTGGGCAATTCGCAACAAAGGAAAGTACAGGTATCGTTCTAGCTTTTCTGGAAGTCTGACGCTGTGGGGAAATGAGCGGAAAGGTGGATAGGTATGGACCGTCGCTGATCGCCAGCGAGTTGACTTTTCGGCAGAACCCGCGTTCTGTCAAAACCTCGAATTGCCGATTCTCCCATGTCGCCAGAATACGTATACGCTCATTTGCAGCGCATTCTCTTAGACCTCAAATTGCCATTCTCCTATTCTCTGATTGCAGCTTCTGCTATTCAGAAGAATCGCATGAGAAGAAAGGTGCAACATTGGAAGAAACTGTGAAAAAAGTCAAAAAAGAAAAAGAAAATGAAGGGACTTACATTTTCAACTACACTGAGAGCATTGTGAATGGCATCTGCATCATCTTTCACTTTTTCGTCTAGCTTTTCGAATGCTGTGAGGAACGACTCGATAATTCGACCTGACGCTAAACTCTCAATCAACTGCGCTGCTCCTGCTTCACCCTCGTTTAAGATGTCCACATCAGTCAATTCCTTAAGTAGTCAGAACATTGGAACAGAAATAGAAAACGGAGGAAAGTTATTTAGCGATTTCACTACCTGTAACAAGTTAACGGTGGCACCGAGAATGTCGGAATTTTCATGACTGAGTAGCGTAAGCATAAGAGAAGGACCCCCTGCTTCTACGAAGCAGTGATAAAGATCCGGCTGCGTAGCTAGGACATGCATTTCCTGAACAGAAAAATGAGGCTTGTTGGTCAACAAGTATCACGGAAACAGCAGCTACCTGTATTGCGGTATCTAATTCTACTTCCGAATCCATGAACTTCTTAGGGTCGTCGGCGTGCTTGGTACGCATTTCTCGATTCTTCAAAGTTTTCCTTTCCAGCTGAAGAGACAGTATTCAATATTGCTCTTCAATATTACACCTTTGGTTGTTGAACAGTGTTGCTGCCCCAATCATACAGAATCAGGCCGGTTTCTTCTCAATTCTCCTGCGAGAGCAGATTTAGCTAAAAATTTGTCCCCAGGGATGTTACCTCCTGAACACGAGTATTGAATCCGCTTGGCACAAAATGTCTAGTGCCCAAGCCACAGGTACCGGCGCCAAAAGTTCGTAAATCACTATGGCTCAAAACTTGTCTTCAGGGGTAATGACCCTCTGAGCAGGAATATCACATCCGCTTTGCCCGAAGCTGCCTAGCGCCCGAGCCAAAACAACCTAAATCATCAGACCAAGACCAAAAACCCGCCCACA